GAAGTTGTGCGTGTTCTGTTATTGCTTCCTTTCTGAATTGTTGCCTCCCGTTTTTCTAGCTCTTTCCTTATTTCATATTTTTTTTAAATTATATGATCAATGAGAATTTTGTTAACGTTGCTGGCGTATATTTTCTTGTTTGGGGTAACTGTTTTTGGTGCTTTAGTCGTTGTCGTTGTTAATGATGGTAATGCAGGCGATGATGGTTGTGATGTTGTAGTCATTGTTGTCTTTATTGATATTACTGTTGTTTTGGTGTTGCTATTGAAGCAGTTGCAGCAAGCGGGTTGAGGGGCGGGTAGGGGGCGGCTAAATACATTTACAATTTTTGCGAATGTTGATGTCACGTTCACACATTGACAGACTTCGAGCTAAAGTATACACTGATTACGTCTTGATCTAGAGCGCTCGACATGATTTTGAAAGTAAAATGTTATACGCTCCTAATGAAACAATTTAGAAGCAAGACAGCTGCATGGGAAAGAAAGTATTGGATCAGAATTCACTGAGTAAGAGGTCAAGAGGAAGGTTTACGTGAAACCTGGTGAAGAGTCACGTAGAGAAGAATGAAAAGTGGGAAGACACGGAATAAAATCACGAGGCCAGACCGGGATAGGGATAGGGATTCCCGGCCTATACCCTGACCTAGAGTGAGAAAAGCATTGTTGCTTGACACTATTTAACTTCATATTAGAAGCGGACTGCTTCGAAACTGCTCGTCTAAGCCACCAACTTGGGCCGAGTGGAATACAACATCTTAACAGAAAGACGGATTCACAATAAATGGGGACAGCACTTGTGTGTTTGGTGTCCACGTTTAAGCACTTTGACTCATGCTGAAGAAGTGATGTTTCGGAATACTTTTAAAAAGAGGCATAACCTCCTCATTCATACAGATTTTTCCATTCTCTTTTCTTTACCTGAAACTTTAAAAAGGTTGGCAACAACGTGTTTACTGTGAAATATTAAGCAAATTCATGTTCCTGGTGTGTGTATGATGGTTCAAAATGTGCCTTGAACTGTACTGCCGTTGGTCTGCTGATGGGTTGATGTTTAATATGTTCGCTTCATCATCTACAGTGAGGACAAAAATTCGTGGAGCAACTTATCCGCAAATATCTCTTTAACGGGAGACTCATTTTCACCCATACTTTACATAGCAGTTTGTATCAATTTGTCTAAACTTAATCATATTTTTCTACTACAATTGAGGCTAGATTTTAAAAACTTTTCTTCTTAAATGCATATAGAATACTATAAACCTCCGCCATGCATAAAATGGGATTGTTCACAGCACTTCCCGCTTCTCACAAACATTTTGCATACGCGTATTATAGCCTGCACCACAGCTCATCAATGACACTTCTTAGTTGCAAAACTTGCTACAGGACATTAATTGTATACTTATAGAGAACATACTTTTGCATTAAAAGTTCTCAAAACATGCGCTCAATAAAGATAGCGGATAGCGTCACGATTAGGAAAAAACATGACGGACTTGCTTTTAAACGCGATATTGCCCCAGCTGTAAATCTTTTAAAATTGGTAGAAATCACCCACTTTTTATTAGTATTTATGAAGGATTTTTATGAAATACAACCAACACAAGTTAACAAAAATATGCAGGCCTATCTGTTAAGACAAATTAATACTAGTCATTGTTCAAAAATTTTAGAGTCTACGTTTGATACCTTGTAACCTTAGGAAATATTTGACAATAGGTTGCGCCACGAATTTTTTACCGCACTCTAAGAGCTAACAACGTGGTTACAGAAACCGGCGTCTTAGGGGGCATCATTCGTAAACAGCGACAACTTTCTGTCTAGTACAATGTTCAACAAGAAAACACGGTCAGCTGCAGTGTATTGTCTGTGATTTCTGTGACAGCTTTCTGCACTTGTGGCTTTACCTTCGTTGTGCACACATTCTGAGTCCACGCACAAATAATAACGCTCTCCACACTGTCGTGCAAACATCTGATTACCCCAGGGCCAGGAACTGAGCGGGTCCTTAGAGGGGATCTTGGATTATCTCATGTCTATCGTCACCGAGTCTAAAGGTGGCCCACCCCGCCCTACATAAACATACAGATTAGTGCAACGCGTGTACTGGCTGTCGGTGGATGAGTCTTTCTTCCATTAATTGTGTTTTTCACGTTTTCTCTTTGCCCTTTCTCTTTCTCCATTCTTTCTATCCCTTCATTCTCTCTCTCTCTCTCTCTCTCT